CAGCGGCTGCTGCTGTTGCTGCTGTAACAGCGGCTGCTGCTGCTGCTGCAACAGCGGCTGCTGCTGCTGCTGCTCCTCAACTGCTGCCAACAGATCCTCAAGGTCATCGTCCGAGAAGGCCTCACCCGCTGCTGCAGCAGCGACAGACGGATTTGGTGCTGCTGTGCTGCAGCAGCTGCTGCTGCAGGAAGGCATAGCTGTTGCTGCTGCTGCAGCAGCAGCAGGTGCCTTACAACTCACGGGAGCCCAGACCATCCCCCCCCAAATACCTCGTGAAGAAGCTGTTCCAGTTGCTGCTGCTGCTGCTGCTGCTGCTGTTGCTGTTGCTGCTGCTGCTGTTGCTGCTGCTGCTGTTGCTGCTGTGGCCGACAGAGCCTGGTGAGGGAACGAGACAAAGTTCTGCGGCTGTTGCTGCTGTTGTTGAAGCTGCTGCTGTTGCTGCTGTTGTTGCAGCTGTTGCTGTTGCTGTTGCTGTTGCTGTTGCTGTTGCTGTTGCTGCTGCTGCAGCTGCTGCTGCTGCTGCTGCTGCTGCTGGGCGCAGTAAGGAAGCCTCTTCCCATAGAGGAACTTCCCCAGGGCATGAAATGAGGCCAGCTGCATATCTTTACACCAAATTGCTGCTGCTGCTGCTGCTGCTGCTGCTGCTGCTGCTCCTGCTGCTCCTGCTGATGCAGCAGTCTGTCTCCCCCCTCCGCGCCGCGGAGGGGTTTGCGGTGCTGCAAGAGCAGCAGCAGCAGCAGCAGGTGCAGCAGCAGCAGGTGCAGCAGCAGCCAGATGCAGACTTCCTAGAGCCTGGCGCAGGTCTCCTCTGCTTGCTGCAGCAATTGCTGCTGTATCTGCTGCAGCAACACGTGCAGCAGCAGCAGCATATCCGCGCTGCATCAGATCTGCTGCTGTTTGTTGCTGAGTCCGTTGCAGCAGCCGCAAGACCTAAGCAGCAGCAGAGACAGCCCAGCCTTTAACAAATTAAAACAGAGACAGTCAGAGACACAAAAGGAGACAAAAAAGAAAGAAGCAAAGAGCAGCAGCAAACATAAACAAACAGCAGCACAGCAGCAAACAAAGAAAAGAGATAAAGAAGTTGTAGCAGCAACAATGCAGAGACACTGCAGAGACAAACAAAAACAAAAAGAGATCGACGAAGAGCAAACAAAAGGAGACAGTGAGGACACAAAGAGACAAAAAATAAATAAATAAAAGACAGACAAAAATAAATACAAAAGAGACGAGACAAAGAGAGACAACAAAGATATAAAAAGAGAGACAGAGAGAGACAAATAATAAACAAAAGAAACAAAGAGAGACAGAAGGAGACAGATAAACAAATGAGACAAACAGAGGCAACGAAGATATTAAAAGAGAGACAGGAGGAGACAGAAGGAGACAAAAGATACTAAAAAAAAGCAAAGAGACAGCTGGAGACAAAGCTGAAGAAAAAATATTAAAAATAAATAAAAGGAGACAGAGCAAAAGACAAAGAGAGACAAAAGGCTATTAAAAGAGACAGACAAAGACAGCAAAGAAGAGAGATAAAGATATAACTCTTACTTGCACCTCCGTAGGGCTATTCAGACGAAGTGTACAGACACCCGGATTATTTAAAAGTGAAGCAGGAAGAAAGCGCTGCAGCAGCCGCTGCTCCTCCCAGCTGTCTCCGACACAAACCACAAGGGGCTGTGCGCAGCCTTGCTGCTGCTGCTGCTGCAGTTGCTGCTGCTGCTGCTGCTGCTGGGGCTCTTCGTAAGGCTGCAAGCGGTGCTGCAGCAGCTGCTGCAGCTGACGTGTGAAGGAAGGAGACCGCTGCAGCAGAGTCGCCGGCAGCTGCCGCAACAGAACCACAGCAGCCCCACTCTTGCTGCTGCTGCTCTTGCTGCTGCTGCTGCTCTTGCTGCTGCTGCTGCTGCTGCTGCTGCCTAAGGGCAGGGCTCGACGTTTGTGAGCCTCAGAGAGAAACGATAAGAGCGCAGCCCCCAGCGGCAGAGGCTCTGCTGCCTTGGACCAGCTTCCCCCTGCTGCTGCTGCTGCTGCTGCTGCAGGAGGTGCAGCAGCAGCAGCAGCAGCAGAAGCTTCATCGAACTCTAAAACTTCCAACCCTAAGGAAGCAGCAGCAGCCATCAACAGCCACCGCTTGCCGCACCCCGAGGGACCCTGCAGCACACAGATGCAAGGAGGCAACGCCCTGCAGCTGCTGCTGCTGCTGCTGCTGCTGTTGCTGCTGTTGCTGCTGCTGTGGGGTTCCCCATCGACGTCCATCGAGCTGCTTTCTAAACGGCGGTCTTCGTCTTCCTTTAGCCGCTTCACGCGGTGCTGCTGCCTCTGCTGCACTTGCGGAGGCCCAGCAGCAGCAGCAGCAGCAGGAGCAGCAGCACCGCCAGCAGCAGCAGCAGCAGCAGAATAAGGACGCAAGAATTCAATCAGCTTTGCTACCTTAGCGGGAGGATGAACAAACTGAAAGCCCTCAGCACAACTCGGAGCTGCTGCTTCATACCACGAAAAACTGCTGCTGCTGCTGCTGCTGCTGCTGGTGGATGCAGCAGCAGCAGCAGCAGCAGCAGCCTTTGAGGGCTTTAAGGGGGACACAGCCGGCCGCAGCCATGTTGAAGTCCTTCCCTCATGTTCTGCAGCAGCAGCAGCAGCAGCAGCTTGTGTTGCAAGCAACCCCACACCGACGAGACTCCTGCTGCTGCTACCATTGTTGCTGCTGCTACTCCTGTTGCCCCTGCTGCTGTGGTTCCTGCTCCTGCTGCTGCTGCTGCTGTTGCTGCTGCTGCTGTTGCTGCTGTTGTTGCTGCTGCTGTCGGCGACGAAGAGGCTCCTGATGGAACGCCGCACCCCCACTGCTGCAGCTTTCGTGGCTTTGCTGCTTCTTGAAGCAGCTTTGCTGCTGTTGCTGCTGCTGTTGCTGCTGCTGCTGTTGCTGGTTGCTGAGAGTTTTGCTGCACTCCGTGCAAAGTGTTTCCTCCCTCGTGGTGTAGTCTCCCTGCTGCTGCTGCTGCTGCTGCTACTGGCGCAGTCTACTTCGTAGCAGCTGCTGCTGCTGCCGTTGCTGCTGCTGCTGCTGCTGCTGCTACTGCTGCTGCTGCGGCGGCGCCTCAGGCGGCGGAGCGGCTGCTGCGAGGGAGAATCAGCAGCAAGATCGATGAGAGGTGTCTTATCTTTGTTGCTGCTCAGCAGGGAAGCAGACGGCATTGCCGCATCTTGCTGCTGCTGCTGCTGCTGCTGCTGCTGCTGCTGTCGCTGCTGCTGTTGCTGCTACTCTACAGGCGCTGCATGCAGCAGCAAGAAGTAGCAGCTCCTGCTGCGATTCTCAGCCCTCTCCTCTTAAGAGTCCTCCCATGCCTTTGCTGCTGCTGCTGCTGCTTCTGCCGCTGCTGCTGCTGCTGCTGCTGATGCTGCTGCGTTGGTTACAGAGGGTATGCTAGTATGATGTGCAGGGAAGGAGCAGCAGCATCTGTGGCTGCAGCTATTCCTTCCTGCAGCGCAGCAGCCGCAACTGCTGCTGTAACTGTTCTTGAAGCAAGTGCAGCAACTGCAGCAGCAGCAGCAGCAGCACGCGCTGCTGCTGCCTCAAAGAACTGCAATCAGTTGTGGTGCTGTAGAAGGCAACGCCCGTTCTGTGCCGAGGAATGGCTGCTGCTGCTGCCGCTACTGCTAGTGCTGCTGTTGCTGCTGCTGCCGCTGCTGCTGGTGCTGCTGTTGCTGCTGTTGCTGCTGCAGCTGCAGCCGTCGCCGCAAACGGCTCTTAGCTCGGCCTTTAACCCTAAACCCTAAACCCTAAACCCTTTTAATCCTTCAGACAAGGGTGAACGCTTAAAGAAGAGTAGGGGGGTTGCGTGCATGCACGCCACTGGTGCTCGGCAGCGGCTGCAGCTGCAGCAGCAGCAGCAGCAGCCGCTGCTGCTGCTGCTGCTTGCATTTCATAACTTTCCCTGGCTTGTCCTTTCTGTAAGGTATGTTTTCTTGTGTTGTTTTTGATGTATATCGCAGCAGCAGCAGATCTTGGCGGAGCCCCGCTGCAGCAGCAGCACGAAGAGCAGCAGCAGCAGCAGCAGCAGCAGCAGCACGAGGCCACAGCAGCAGCAAGTCTGCTTTGTTCTTCTCTTCGCATTTTTAGATTCGTTTGCCGCAAAACTATTTTAAAAAACACTTGCAGCAAGAGCTACCTGGACGAGGGCAGCAGCAGCAACATCAATTAAACAGCAGCAGCAGCAGCAGCAGCAGCAGGAACAGCAGCAACTGAAGCACCAGCAGCAGCAGCAGCAGCAGCAATGCAGCCTTACGGGGGAATGCCCCCAAGTATGATGGGGATGAGGCCAATGCCTGGTGTAGCACCGACATTGATGCCTCCGCAGGTGCGCATGCGTTTGCTGCTGCTGCTGTGCTGCTGCTGCTGTTGCTGCTGCTGTTGCTGCTGCTGTTGCTTCTGCTGTTGCTGCTGCTGTTGCTTCTGCTGCTGCCTTTTTAAAGGCTGCAGAGAGCATGGTGCCCAGGCACTTGTGTATTGTAGCGTCTCTGTTCATTGCTTTTGCTGCTGCTGCTGCAGCAGCAGCAGCTGTTGCAGCATCTGCTGCTGGAGGTCTGCCTCCCAGCAACAACAGCAGCAGCAGCAGCAACAGCAGCAGCAGGAGCAGCAGCAGCAGCAGGAAGTATATAGTAATAGGGTATAAAGTTGAAGTGAACCATTGATAGCAGCGATATCTGCTGCCTCCTGTTTGTTTAGATGTCTCTCTTTGTTTATCTTCAGCCTTTATCTTTAAATTTAATTAATTAATTTATTTTGTTTTTGCTGCAGGGCTACGAAGTTGCGCCGTTTCAGATACCCGGCGTCCCCGGTGAGTTCTGCTGCTGTCTCTCTTTGTCTCCATTTGTTTGTCTCTCTTTATCTCTTTCTTTATTTGTTTTTGTTTGTTTATTTGCTCTTTATCGTTATCTGTTGCTTTACTTCTTTTTATTTATTTATTTGCTCTTTATCTTTATCTCTTGCTTTACTTCTTTTTATT